TGGTTACAGTAGTAGTTAGTAACCAATGGTTACAGTAGTAGTAACCAATGGTTACAGTAGTTAGTAACCAATGGTTACAGTAGTAGTAGTTAGTAACCAATGGTTACAGTAGTAGTAGTTAGTAACCAATGGTTACAGTAGTAGTAGTAGTTAGTAACCAATGGTTACAGTAGTAGTAGTAGTTAGTAACCAATGGTTACAGTAGTAGTAGTAGTTAGTAACCAATGGTTACAGTAGTAGTAGTTAGTAACCAATGGTTACAGTAGTAGTTAGTAACCAATGGTTACAGTAGTAGTAGTTAGTAACCAATGGTTACAGTAGTAGTAGTTAGTAACCAATGGTTACAGTAGTAGTAACCAATGGTTACAGTAGTAGTAGTTAGTAACCAATGGTTACAGTAGTAGTAGTTAGTAACCAATGGTTACAGTAGTAGTAGTTAGTAACCAATGGTTACAGTAGTAGTAGTTAGTAACCAATGGTTACAGTAGTAGTAGTTAGTAAGCAATGGTTACAGTAGTAGTAGTTAGTAATGGTTACAGTAGTAGTAGTCAGTAAGCAATGGTTACAGTAGTAGTAGTTAGTAAGCAATGGTTACAGTAGTAGTAGTTAGTAAGCAATGGTTACATAGTAGTTAGTAAGCAATGGTTACAGTAGTAGTAGTAAGCAATGGTTACAGTAGTAGTAGTTAGTAAGCAATGGTTACAGTAGTAGTAGTTAGTAAGCAATGGTTACAGTAGTAGTAGTTAGTAAACAATGGTTACAGTAGTAGTAGTTAGTAAGCAATGGTTACAGTAGTAGTAGTTAGTAAGCAATGGTTACAGTAGTGGTAGTTAGTAAGCAATGGTTACAGTAGTAGTAGTAGTTAGTAAGCAATGGTTACAGTAGTGGTAGCTAGTAAGCAATGGTTACAGTAGTAGTAGTAGTTAGTAAGCAATGGTTACAGTAGTAGTAGTTAGTAAGCAATGGTTACAGTAGTAGTAGTTAGTAAGCAATGGTTACAGTAGTAGTAGTTAGTAAGCAATGGTTACAGTAGTGGTAGTTAGTAAGCAATGGTTACAGTAGTAGTAAGCAATGGTTACAGTAGTAGTAGTTAGTAAACAATGGTTACAGTAGTAGTTAGTAAGCAATGGTTACAGTAGTAGTAGTTAGTAAGCAATGGTTACAGCAGTTAGTAAGCAATGGTTACAGTAGTAGTAGTTAGTAAGCATTGGTTACAGTAGTTAGTAAGCAATGGTTACAGTAGTAGTTAGTAAGCAATGGTTACAGTAGTAGTTATTAAGCAATGGTTACAGTAGTAGTTAGTAAGCAATGGTTACAGTAGTTAGTAAACAATGGTTACAGTAGTAGTTAGTAAGCAATGGTTACAGTAGTTAGTAAGCAATGGTTACAGTAGTTAGTAAGCAATGGTTATGGAAATACACGTAAGTGATATTTACCTATGAGTATGGGAATAGCATTTATACTAAGTTACGGGAGTAGTTAGCATAGTAACTACCAATTATGAGAGTAGTTAGCATGGTAGTTACCATTGATTATAGAAGTACCAGTTAATAAGGTACTTACCATCAGTTATAATGATTTAGTAATCAATGGTTATGGATGTAACATGACAGCTATGAAGGGTTGAGAGTATGGTAATTACCCATGATTATAGTAGTATAATTACCGATGGTTTCTTGAGTCCTGGAAATGGGAAGTACAATGCCTGCACTTTAAAGGAGGGGTTTGGGATATTGGCAGTTTGGAGGGATATGTTGTGTATCTCTATACGTATATGCTTCTAAACTGTTGTATTCTGAGCACCTCTGCAAAAGCAGTGATAATGTGTGTGTGTGGTGAAAGTGTTGAATGATGAAAGTATTTTCTTTTCGGGGATTTTCTTTCTTTTTTTTTGGGGTCACCCTGCCTCGGTGGGAGACGACCGACTTGTTGAAAAAAAAAAAAAAAAAAAAATTACCGATAGTTAAGGGCATAGTATAGTAGTTACCTGGCAGCACTAAAGGGGGGGGAAAGAGAATGAAGCTGAAAATCTAATATATAATTATTATAATAAAAATGAAGCGCTAAACCAAAAGGGCTAAAATCTAATATAATAATACAGTGGACCCCCGCATAACGATTACCTCCGAATGCGACCAATTATGTAAGTGTAATTATGTAAGTGCGTTTGTACGTGTATGTTTGGGGGTCTGAAATGGACTAATCTACTTCACAATATTCCTTATGGGAACAAATTCGGTCAGTACTGGCACCTGAACATACTTCTGGAGTGAAAAAATATTGTTAACCGGGGGGTCCACTGTAATAATAATGCCTCAAGACAACCCCCAAAAGTCAGTACCTGATTGGCGGGCTGTGGTTCACACCTTGGCCTATGTGTGACCAGTAGTAACAGCCTGGTTAATCAGGCCTTGATCCACTGGGAGGCCTGGTCAAGGACTGGGCCATAGGGGAGGTGACCCACAGAACACCCTCCTATATAAACCTGCTGGAGCTTCCCTGTATAAACAATATGACTGACTAAAATATGAAGAAAGAACACCATGAGCACAGCTCAACTTTCTTACTTGGAAATAAATAACTGCTTGACCCACTGACATATGATGAAGCAGTACATAACTGGCAGATTGACTCTGTGACAATGTACGAGTCAGTGAGAGATACTGATTCAGTGAGAAATACACCATGATTCAGAGAAAGACTGATTCAGCGAGACCACCATCAATGCGTCAACAAATACCACCATATAGAGGAGTTTGCTCTCAAGGTACGGTGGGGGTCAATAATGCATCACTTGTCATATGCTGAATTGTTGTACATCAGAACAGTAGTACATGTGAATTACTTATATAATGCATCAAATGTAGCACCTGTATACTGTATGTGCTGAAAAAGCATTAAAATACAAATAAGCGGCTTACACAGTGATAAATGTATACACCTACCATCCGACTTATGACCGAGTTCGGTTCCGAGAAACCGGTCGCAAGTCGAAATGGTCATAAGTCGAACTTTACTACTGAATATCAACAAAATATTTTTGTAAAGGCTATTTATTGTTTTATTTTGGTATTTCATGTTTTACTTTACTTTTTATGTTGTTAGTACTGTATTTTATACTGTAAGGTTTAGGATAAACACTGTGAACAACACAAATAGCTGTTTATTTCCCAGAAATTTGGCATAAAAAACACGGTCGTAAGTCGAGTGGTCGTAAGTCGAGCAGGTCATAAGTCGGATGGTAGGTGTACTTACCATCACAGAGATTCCCAGTTCGAACACTTGCTACAATAGGCCAAGCCTCCAAATTCAGAGGGAGGAGGGGGGAGGGAGTGGGACTTGCCTAATCCTGCAAATCTAGAATCCCTGAATACAAAATTACAGTAGTCCTCCCCCCTCATTTCCGCAGGGGATACTTTCCAAGACCTTCTGTGGATGCCCAAGACTGTGGATAGTGGCGAATCCTATATATATATAAAAGTTGTTTTTGTTTACATACACACCTATGATAAAGTTTAATAATTTACATACAATAAGTGAAGAATTATAACTTTTCACTGATGGGAAGCACTTCACAGCTTCTCTTAGGCTCTGAAGAACTGCCATCACTGTGCTCTGGTGTTATTAAGCAAAAATTAAAGGTTATTTTGGGCCATGGTAAACTGTGGGTAACTGAAACCATGGAAACCAAGCCTGCAGATACAGGGGTCCTACTGTATATATACATAATTAATTTTATTCTCCATGGGGAAGTGGAGAATTCTTCCTCTGTAAGCCATGAGTGTCAAAAGAGGTGACAAATACTGGGAGCAAGGGGCTAGTAGCCCCTTCTCCTGTATCTTTAATGAGTGAAAAACTTTTCTTTTTTCTTTTTTGGGTCACCCTGCCTCCGTGGGAGACAGCCGATGTGTTAAAAAAATTATTTTAGATTTAGTCCCATTGTGTTCAGGACACATCTCTTTAAATATCACTAACCTAGTTAATATTAAAATTCGTGAAAAAACAAAGAAATTCTGACTTGAGAAAGCTAGCAAGTGCATTCTAAATGAAGTCCTCTTCTAGGTGGGTGCCTTAATGTAGGTGGCAGGCTCTTGATCCAAGGAATCAGAGCTCTTCTCCCACTTCTGGAATCAATCCTGATTGCATCACATTATCCCAGGCAGTTTAGTACCTCCATTGAATATACATTAATAATATTAATGAATTAAATCTTGCTAGTTTTCAACTGAGAGGTCAGATAAGGTAAGAGATAAGATTTTGTTGGGATTTTTAAACCCGGAGGGTTAGCCACCAAGGATAACCCAAGAAAGCCCGTGTGTCATCGAGGACTGTGTCTTATTTCCACTGGGGTCCCTCAATCTAGTCCCTCAGGATGCCACCCACACCAGTCAACTAACACCCAGGTACCTACTTGCTTACTTGGTGAACAGGGACAGCAGGTGTAAGGAAACATGCCCAGTGTTTCCACCCAGCCGGGGATCAAACCATGAACACTCAGCGTGCGGCGAGACAATTGTCTACCAGGCCATGGGACACCTAAAGAAGCTTAGTCACATGCCAAGTGTCCAAAAAAAAAAAAAAAAAAAAGGGGGCACTGCAAAAAATTTATGGGTTGTCCATCAGCAAAAATGTTGGTTAATCGAGTCCTGGAAATTACAAGGCCTCTCTGAATTTGGAGGTTCAACCATACACTAATTTGAATACTCACCATTATGGGGTGTCCATCCACAAGCACTTATCAAATTATACAGCAGTACAGGCAGGCCCTGCTTGACAGTGCTTCACTTTATGGTGTTTTGTTAACAGAGTGGTTTTCAATTATGTATACCCATTCTTCATTTATTCAAACTTTTTACAATCAATATATCAACCACTCACTATTAGCTAAGGATGAAAATATTTTAAGGCAAATAATACATGGACAATATATACATTTTTAAGGCTTAGCTCAATTGCTCACTTAATAAATGGTATAAACATGTTATGAGGCCTTTATATGCATTTTGAAAGTAAAAAAAGCTTATAATTCACTTTAGTGATATTTGCTGTACAGCAGTAGCCTGGAACCTAACCTGCAGTACAAGCAGGGCCCTCCTGTACTCACCATTATGGTGGTTCCATCCACAAGCACTTAGCATATTATACAGCAGTATGAGTTATCACTCTTATAGAGGTTCCATCCTCGAGCACTTGGCAGATTATACAGTAATATGAGTACTCACCATTATAGAGGCTCCATCCTCGAGCACTTGGCAGATTATACAGTAATATGAGTACTCACCATTATAGAGGTTCCATCCTCGAGCACTTGGCAGATTATACATCTTGGCAATCTCTATCCAGATTTCCTCTGACAGTTGATCCAGTTCTTTTTTATCCCTGGAACAACAGATTACAGAACCAATTATATTGTAATAAGTTACAGATGGAATATAAACAAATACTTACCTACACAACTGTATAAACCAAGATTTCAACTCTCTTTAGCACATGCTTTCTCTTTAAGCAAGTCATTCAGTTTAGGGCCCAAATCAAGACATTGTTTATTGATTAAAATTATTATGATTACATTCATGGAAAGTGCTAGACTCATGTGGAGGGAGAGAAAAATGATGTCACTGAGGAAAAGCAATGGTAAAAAGAAGGCACTGGTCATAGTACAGAAAATCAGTGTTGGTTAAGAAATGATAGAGAATCTGCATTAAAGGTGAGACAGTCAAGAAAAGAGGGAAGTCAAAGGCATTTAAAATGAAAATTGTGCTCTCTGATGAATGGGACAATTAATCAAAAGATATTGAACTGTTAGTACAACCTGACAGTCCTTGCAAGGTGCTGCTACAAGGTGCCATTCTAGGAAATTATTTTTTATATTTCTCTGTGTCAACATTAGCACCATATTTAGTCCTTATTCTATAATTTACATTATCAGTCTTCTTGTTTTGTCTTATTGTACCTATATGCATTACTCACCTAGTTTTTTCTACATACAGTACAGTACAAAACTGTATTTATAATAAAATGTTATTAACCCATCCACTTAACACTAGTAATGTATGTAAATCTACACAAATAACCCGCACATAGGAGAGAGAACCTTACGATGTTTCGGTCCGTCGTCGTAACCTTCTCTCTCCTACATGCAGACTATTTTTATATTGCTCCAGAAATGGAATTGTGCCTTTTTAAGAACATATTCTTTATAAGTCTAATACATACATGACGTCTGATGATTTAATATTTAGTTATTTTTCTGACAATTGTATTCTAGTCTGTGATTTTTATAACTACATCAGCCATTTTCCACATGGGTAAGATGATCCAAAGGAGGAAACACATTTGCTATCATTCATTCAATAGCTGTCATCGCAGAATTGTGGGAATATCACAATTCAAGTAAGCCGCTACACTAACATCCCTGACCATTATTCAGAGTGCAGGCAATGTGCTTCCCACTTCCAGGACTCAATTATTATCACAACAATCAAAACTAAGCACTAAACCCACAAGGGTCTTCAGGACTCTAGTGTGTACGATACAGTTAATCCAGCATGTAGACTTCTTTTCGATTTTGCTACATCAATGTTTCTTGAACAAGTATCAATAGCCATGCTATAACACCACTGATTACAGATGGGTCCTGATTTACAGCACTTCACTTTATGGCATTTCGCTAATGCAGCAGTTTTCAATCATACCACTCTTCATTTATTCTGAATTCCTATAAATTTATTCACCACTCACTATAAGCTAAGGACAAAAATATTTTAAAGTAACGTGTGTACCATATATGCATTTTTTAGGCCTAGCTCTATTACCCACTTAATATATGTTTATACTATCATATCAGGATTTTATATGAATTTGAAGGTGCAGAACGCTATGATTTATTTTACAGCGATTTTTGCTGTACAGCAGTAGCCCAGAACTTAACCTGCTATATAAGCGGAGCCCTCCTGTATTAAGCCTAATTATTAAACTTACCTGGGAAGACTGTGAAGGAGAGTATTAAGTTGATCATCTTTATCGTCATTAAATTCAAGAGGAAAGGCGTCCACCATGTACACCGCCTCCTTGAGAGTGCGTATGCCTAAAGTCTCCAGCCTGGCACGTGCAAGAGAATGCAAGTGGTAGATTGGATGGTTTATTATTAGGGATAAAGCCTATTAACTACACAAGGGTCATTAAGGCTGCATGTCACCTGTGCACCACCAGTTAATATTACAGCACTTTAATCTCTATGATAGGAATTAAAGTAAACTGTCAGTGTATATACACTAGGAGGTTTGTACCTCTCAGTGTACATATATACCATCAGCAAATGGTGGAGCAAGTATCAAGTGGATTCAACAGTGATTCTATTTATTTTTTGACCAGAAAACACACAAATGGTAAGATAATTGACACCAAACTCTACACACAGGCATATGTGTAATATTTTCATTGCTGAAATTTATATGCTGATTCTACTGATAATAGAAAAATATCATCGTAATTGTAAATTTTACAGCATTAAAATTTAAGATTCATACTATAGCGACAAATATGTCCAGATGCGATAACGTGTCCACACGAGACAGTATGTACTATACTCCAAACAAAGTGTATGGTAGAGTACTGCAATAAGGCAAGTCTGTGGTGTCAGTTATCAATGGAATTATCCTAGAGTCATGCACATTAAATATTATAATAAGTTTATCATTTTATATTAAAATTAACAATGAAGTACAGTAAATGTAAAAGGAGGGTGTTAATGTTGCAGTTTTATAACTGTAGTGCAGGGGTGGGCAAACTTTTCAGTGCCATCAACTGGGAACTGTACTTGTCTGATAATGCTTGTGTAACAGCTCATGATTTCAACAGAGGAAAATGAACAAAGCTTTGCTCATTCAGCTGCATATACGTGAGTATATGATTTGATCTTGGCAGGCTGCATGAAAACCTTTGGCAGGACGCAGTTTGCCTACCCCTGCTGTAGTGTAAGCGCGCCTCTGGCAAGACAGTGATGGAGTGAATGATAGTATCTTTTTCGGGCCACCCTACCTTGGTGGGAAACGGCCAATGTGTTAATAAAAAAAAAATCCTTTCATATCACTTATGTGGTTCATGCTGGGATGGCAATTTTAATAAGATTACTTTCAATGGGTTAAAATTTTGATACGCACAGTGAACACCAATGCGGATTTGAACAGTCCTGTAGTGTAAGTGCCTGTGACGTAAGTAACATTATGGATGACATCAAATATAAGACTCCTCTGGAAAACATGCATAGAATACACAAATAACTCACATACAGGAAAGAGGTTCACAACAAAGTTTCAGTCTGACTTGGATCATTTACAAGTCACACTGTAAATCGTCACAGTATTGTGACTTTTTTAACGTGCATAGGTATTACTGTAATAAAAAACACAGGTCACTTAACTAAGAATTTAACCCTTAAACTGTCCAAGCAGATCTACGTTCACATGCGTAGTGCTCCAAAAGTAGATCAAAGTTTTTTTTACACTTTTTCAAATGTAACCAAAAAAAAAAAAAAAAGATCTACATTTTTTACATACTTTCAAATGTTGAAAAAACATAGATCTACGTTTGGACAGTTTAAGGGTTAATACACAATGTCTGCAATTAAAAATTCTCTTGACAAGTGGATACGTAAATTTAAAATTAATTGTATTTAAGATCTCTGTTTGTATTTGTTAATCATGCTCAAAGATATTTATACACAGTACTGTCAAACAAATAAAGCAAGCACACAAATTAGCAAACATGCATACTGTATACAATGCTGAGAGCGCTTGGCACACAACCGAAAGGACCTGAAAGCAATTCCTGAACAAAATGAAATGTAAGGTACATAAACGCATCTTTATTTTCCAGCAAGATACATTAGTTACAATAGGAGGCTAACGGTATATTTGTTACAAAGAAAAGTCCATTGTTATGCATAACATTTCAGGCAGTTTTAAGCAAGGATTAATATTAATATAAAAATATACTGGACAAAGTATATAGTCCGTAAACATAGTACATACTATATTTTAGAAAAAAATGAGCATTTAGTGAAACACACTGCAGTACTATATAAAAATTTATGTTAAATTGAAATAATGTCAAGAGGATTAAAAAAGCAAATACAGAACTAATGGTACGATAATTTACTCAAAGGCATAATGACGACAGATGGTAAAATGGTATTAAGTATACCATACCATTAAAGACTTCACTGCAATAAATGTCTTTTCACTAACCGATGCAATGTAAGTGTAAAGGATAATTTTGCTGTAAAATTTTAATGGTAGTCATGACTTGCAAAATCATAACACAACTGCAAAAAATTTAAGGAAGTAACTCATAACGCGATTGCAAACCAATTGTAAAACAAACCTGCGATTTGTTTTCAATCTTGTTATTTAGATTTTGAGAGTCATGATGGTGGCTTTGAAGGGACTTGAGCTAGAGTATGCCACAGCCTCACTGGTGTGGCATTTGTCTGTAAAAGCCTGCATTTGTGGTAATGGTGGTGGCCCATGCTAACCTCCCTAAAGTGAATAGAAATATATCTAGTTGGATGAATCTTATTAGAGCCGGCTGGCCCAGTGGCTGATGCACTGGTCTGTGAGTTTTATGACTCCCTTCCCATGGGTTCAAACCCACCTGTTAAGATAAGATAAGATTTCGTTCGGATTTTTAACCCCGGAGGGTTAGCCACCCAGGATAACCCAAGAAAGTCAGTGCGTCATCGAGGACTGTCTAACTTATTTCCATTGGGGTCCTTAATCTTGTCCCCCAGGATGCGACCCACACCAGTCGACTAACACCCAGGTACCTATTTGCTGCTAGGTGAACAGGACAACAGGTGTAAGGAAACGTGTCGGAAATACATTAAGCAAACAAAATATTTAAGTTCCTGTTTGAATTCCTTAAGTTACAATTTTATAATTCATCTTATAAGTTATTCAACATTTCTGGTCCTTTTACTTATACAGAGCATCTAAACAGAGGTTCAGGCAAACACTGGGAATGTTCCTAGAGTAATGCCTGCATAATCTGTTACAGTCTTCCAGGAAGTATCTTAGGTCAATATCAACATTGTAGTGAAGTGTTTTCAAGATCCAGAGTGAACATTAGGACGTGTTTCCATAAGACACCCGCTGTCCATGTTCACCCATCAGTATAAAATGGGTACCTGGGCGTTAGTCGACTGGTGTGGGTCACAGCCTGGGACAAAACTGACCTAATTTGCCCGAAATGCTCTGCATAACAAGCAGCTTTCTATATACACGTAATAATAGGTCATTAATGCCAGCTAGGCCTGTACATCCTGTACATGTACTTGTAGAAATAATTATTATTATTATTATGTGTAACAAATACTTGTGTCCCATAGCTCAGCTGCTAGCACACTTAGCTCACACACTGAGGCCCATAGTTTGATCCCTGGTACGGGTAGAAACATTAGGGTATGTTTCCTTAAGACACCTGCTGTCCTGTTCACCTAGCAGTAAATAGGTACCTGGGTGTTAGCCAACTGGTATGGGTCACATCCTGGGGACAAAATTAACCCAATTTGCCCGAAATGTCCTGCATAACAAGTGGCTTTCTATATAGTATGTCAATGATGTCAGCTAGGTCCGTATACATTGTACATGTACTTGTAAAAATAATAATAATTACAGTGGACCCCGCCTTACGATATTAGTATTTCATTCCAGAAGTCTGCTCGGGTGCCATTACCGACCGAATTTGTTCCCATAAGGAATATTGTGAATTAGATTAGTCTGTTTCAGACCCGTAAAAATACACGTACAAAAGCACTTACAAAAATACACTTGTATAATCGGTCGAATTGGGAGCTGATCGTAAGGCGGGGGTCCACTGTATTATTATTAAAGTAGGTTTAGGAATCTGAATAAGAGCTAGGAGAATGGCCTAAAATTACAGGCAAGCCTCCTTACACTTGCTACCCCTATTCACTTAATTGTAAATAGGTACCTGTGTGTTAGTCAACTGTTTAACCCTTTCAGGGTCCAGAGGCCAAATTTCGAAGGGTGCACCAGTGTCCAAGAATTTTCAAAAAAAAAAAAAAAATTATCTTTTCTAATGAAAAGGTAGAGAATCTTTCTCTGAAGGTAATAAAACAAAAAGTACGAAATTTGATAGAAAATTGACGAAATTATGCTCTCGCAAATTTTGACGTGTCAGCGATATTTATGAATCGGCGATTTTGCCAACTTTGACTCCCATTTTAGGCCAAGTACATTATTCCAGTCGACCAAATTCTTAGCTATTTCATTAGTATTATTTCTATTCTATTGATTGAGCACTAGAAATCGCCCAGTCAACCGTTTCAACTACAAAATAAAGTGATCGGAAATTGGTAATTTGGCCAATTTAACACAAAGTTCAAAATATTCCAATTTCAAAATAGGGTCCAGAATAAACAATGCAGGCATTCCTGGCACTAAACTAACATTTCCTGTGCTCATTAGTTATGTTTTGAGGCTTTACAAATAAATTCCATTTTGATTTTTTATTCACATAATGAATTTTTATTCAAACCAAAAAATAGAAGATTTACTGTTATGCAATATTGTAATAATTGTATAAATATCATCACCACATTTGTGAATGTATATTAGACCCACCAGCTGGCGCGTATTAGACGTGCGAGGTCGTTTGTTTACTCTTGAACATCAACAAAAATTTAACATTTCTGCTACTTTGAGCTCAGCTTCAAGCCATTTCCAGTACTAAAACCAATCAAAATCATCTCTACTTCTGTAATATATCTTCCATTCTATCAAATGAAACCAAGAAATCACAAATACAACATTAAAAAACATACGAAAAAACGCTGCAAAGTCGCTGTTTTCATTCATCGAAAATCACGGTCTGGGTTTTTCTCTCTCATTATACGCTGTGCTGCAGGATTTGTTTTATGTGGTGCACACATACCACATAGATGTATTCTCTCATATCTAGGCCCAAATTTACCACTCACAGATTATCAGAGTGAGCTGAGCTCATGGCGCAGATCTACAGTTTGGACCCTGAACGTAAAGCCGTATATCTACGGCATGGGCCCTGAAAGGGTTAAGTGAATATTCTGTAATAACAGTGAAGATGGGACACCATGAGCAAAGCTCTGCTCCTGTACCTACAAATACCCAGAGATTAATCACACATGCCCAGTCTGGGACAAATGTTCACAATATACATATGTACCAATACATTACCATATGTACTGTTTATGCATACTGTCAAAAGACTTTTCTTAATATACCTTATGAAATAATAGTATGAAAACTAAAAAATAAAGGAGAAATAAAGGCAAAGATTGTACTATAATGGACGACAGACTTTCAGTCTGAAGAAAAACTGTGAATAAGAAAAATTTCCTCATGGGAGAATATCACCAGTTGAGTTCTACATGGATCAGTATTCCAGAGTACAGGTCGGCCATCACTAATCCAGCATCACTGGGACCTGTAGTGTGCCGGATTAGAGAGTTTGCTGGATTACAGAGGTTAGGTTAGAATACACTTAATTAACCTATCAGTAGAGAGACTGCTACATCTTCCTCATTTTCATCACTGCTTTCTCCTCCACTGGCTTGCTGCTGTGGATTTACAACCATCTGCACAATTTCTGAGTCAGTATAATGATGAAATTTGAAATTATGCTAGCCGAAATTAGTGCCGGATTACTTATGGAACCAGATAACCGATTGCCAGATTAGTGATGGCCGACCTGTACAATACATGTATTTTAAATGAGTTGCCAGATGGACTACAAAACTTACATGTGAAAATGTTTTAGACGCAGAAATCCTATGCAAAATACTGTAAGAAACAATAACTGTATGGGACCCAGTCCTTAGGCTCAATATATGTTTCTGATTTTTTTTTTTAACTGGCCATATCCCACTGAGGTAGGTGACCTAAAAAAGAAAGTTTTTTTTAAGAAAAACAAAAGTTTTTCTTTTTAAATTTAGTAATTTACACAGGAGAAGGGGGTTACTAGCCCATTGTTCCTGGCATTTTAGTCGCCTCTTACGACAAGAATGGCTTACGGAGGAAGAATTTTCCACTTCCCACTTCCCCATGGAGATAAGAGGAAATAAAGAAGAACAAGAACTATTAAGAAAATAGAAGAAAACCCTGGTGTGTGTGTGTGTGTGTGTGTGTGTGTGTGTGTGTGTGTGTGTGTGTGTGTGTGTGTGTGTACATGCATGTGTAGTGTGACCCAAGTGTAAGAAGTAGCAAGATATACCTGTTATCCCGCTTCTCAATTATTCCCAGGTAATTCTTACACTTGTCTTCTTTTCCCCTCATACAAAGGCAGTATGTATATAATAGGGTGTCACTGTACATACAAGGCAAAGCCTAAGCATAAATTACAGAATTAATGTAATACTTTTAAATGGTTGTATATTATATTAAATCATCAGTAAGACGAGGGTTTGAAAAGTTCTTTTTAGCTTTTGTAGCAGAGCGGTTAGGCTGGAGGCTTTTATCCAAGAGGTCGCATGGTCACCTCCCGGGAATCATTACATGTAATTGTTGAATCACGATTTGTGAAATCTCATTTCTAAGTTTAATTTATTCAGTTAAAAAGGTTCTAGGTAACTGATACTTACCTTTGGTGACTTAGTGAAATTAAAGGGTCAAATGAATTTCCTAAGTGAGAGAGTGCAGTACTGTGTGTACATTACCTTGGCAAGCCATTTTCAGCTCCATGTTTCTTTAAAAAGTGATTCAGTACAAGACGCTGCTTCACATCAAATACTGCTGCAGTGGTTCGTTCTTGTTCCACTAAAGGAAGGCCTCGCAATGGACCCATCTCTACAACATCCACAAGTCTCCATATTCCTAAATAAAATAAATGTGGAACAAATGACTGCAGTTCTTTGAGCTAAATGATTAATATTAAACAAGTTAAACAAATGCTAAAACTATAGCCTCTGCAACTTGCAACATATGTTAAGTGCGTGTTTCTTCAACTGTCTAATATCTCTGGAACACCCACCCGACACAACTATCTTCAATTTGCTAAGGTGCTTCAACAGTTGAAGCAACTGATGACTTAAAAACCTGAAAAGATCATTTACAAACAAAAACAAATGTCATTCAAGCCACTAGCTACATTTTTTCACACATTCCATAACAATATGCTTAGTCTGAAGTTATTATCAGAAATTTGTCAAGCTTTATCCACCTCCTGAGGACAATTACAGCAAGTGTTAAGATAATTCTCCCTCTCGGGGATACCTAATCATAGCATTAAGGTATCTCTCCCCTAGGGGATACCTAGTCATAGCACTAAGGTACCTCTCCTCTTGAGAATACCTAGTCATAACACATGCCAAACTAGAACCAATTATCATTAATCCCAAAAGTCCAGTAGGGTATTAAAAAAAAAAAAAAAAATAGCTTACACTTTTAAGTGAGATTGTAAGGTATGTGTGTAGAGTTTGATGTACTGTATTTCTGCTTGTTCAGTGTTGCTCCATAGGTGTAGGCCTCTAGATGACTAGAATCTAATGCAGCAGATTCTTGCATAGATTTAGATTTCAGAACAACGTTTAAGAGAAATGTAGCTACTGCAACACCAAGTGAAGTGGCAACACAGTTCATCACCAATTCTGACAGAGTTTGCAACCTCTGTCAGCAATATTAAACACAGGTCTGTTGTACATGATGGAGACAGGTAGGACGACAACTTACAAATTTCTAAAAACTATCTCAAAATAGTGATATCCAGAGGATACACGCACAAACATGCAAGCATGTCAAGCACCACCTGTGGTTTTCTTGAAAGCCAGAAACCACTTCTGTATGCTGGTACTGGCAACAAAAACATTAAGAGAAAACACAGTAAGTGTCCAGGGCACAAGACTGTTCAAGAGCCTCCCACCATGCATGAAAGGAATTACCAATAGACCCCTGGCTGCCTTCAAGAGAGACCTAGACAGATACCTAAAGTCAGTACTCAACTAGCCAGGCTGTGGTTTATATGTTGGATTACATACAGACAGCATGTAATTTAGGCATCCCAGTTGATCAGGCCCTGATCCACTGGGATGCCTGGTCAAAGAATGGGCCGTGGGGTCACCGACCCTCGGAACAACCTCTAGGCAGATTCCAAGTAACCCCAGGTAGCGAGTTTGAGGTGGGAGGAGATCATCAAGATACACATTGAGGCGAGATCACCTAGATACACATTGTGAAAATTTTTCACCAAGATCATGAGAGGGAGAAAAGAACCAATGAAAATGCTAGTAACTCATCTAAAAATGATAAGTTGGAGGGAAAACAAAAAAGATCTTTGAAATACCTAAACACAAGAGAGATTAAACACCATGTTCAGACTGCCAATGAGAGCAGCAGAGGCCAGGACTACTAACAACGGGTGATAACAAGGTAATAATTACTACTGGGATCATCAAGTATGAACTCCCAGGAAAATTCAATAACAATGGATGAAGAGCAATGTAAAATATCAGGTGCCTGAATCAGTACAAATTCGGGGTAACACAGGTCAAAGTACCAGAACTGAAGATAACATAGGATATAGGAGTTGAGAAAGGCCTCCAGCAGATTAATACAAGAACAATAAGACTCTCCAAATAAAATAATTTAAGAAAACTGACAAAAAAAGTAGTTTTGAGGAAGGAAAGCACTATGAGTTCTGAGGTCATTTAAAGAAAAAAATCATGAGAGAGAAGGACATCGATCAACACATACACCACTTAATAAATACACAGTACAATATAGTGGAGGAGAGTGACAAGAATTGAACTTTCATTATATGAGGTATGTATAGTATTAGGGTAGGTCTACCGATTGCAAAAAAACAGAGCTATGTATTTCAGTGTATTAATATTTGCGCATTACAATACAGAACTTTAGAGGTAAATATGGTTATATATGATACGAGTTTCTATGCATTTACTAGCACTAATTTTGATTCCACAACAGGCAGTAGCAATCATGGGTCCATAAAGAACAAAAGGCACAATACCATGACTACAACAATACACAAATAACCCGCACATAGGAAACAGAAACTTACGACGATGTTCGGGCCTGACTAGACCATTAACTTCATCATAAGCTTCTTTCTCCTATGCATGGGTTAACTGTGTAGTGAATCATGGGTCATCCTTTTCACCAGAGACCCAAGTTAGCACTTAAAGATATAGGAGATTGTGGAGATTCCACTGTAGTTTAATGTTTATTCCTGGATTCCAAAATTTTCAGATGAACCTTATGCAAGAAACTTTACTGAAGGTTTTTAAATCCAGGTACAATACTTTGGAGAACAAACGTTCTCAATGTAATTTTGAATAACAGCAAAAAATGAGCCTAGAATACACCTCGCAAAATGGGTTTCTTCACTTGAATAACCTCTTATGCCAGGGAACTATGACCAACAAATGAGCACATGACTTTCAATCTTACATAACTATTTTTCAAAGTAGCTCTAACCTTTGATGACATTTTGATCCATTCTGGACCTTTTACCAAGTCACAACTGAGTGAGAGAATAGGGAGAAAACAGAGAACAAATACAGATGCTCCTCACAATATTTTGACTTAAAAGCAATTACAGTACTGTATTTTAGAGCGAACAAGACGCTCCGGTGTAAAAGACACTCCCCCAATTCTGGTGGCTAAATTTTGGAAAAAAAAAAAAAAATAAATGGTACTTTGACCTCTGAGACACTAGGTAAATTTTTGAGAAAAAAAAAATAAAAAAAGCGTCTTTGATGCTGTATAATAAGGTACAGACCCAGCATGAAGACAGCAAGTCTGTAACTAGTATTCATTTTACTTTTCAATACTACTACTTATTCAGTGACAGTATTTAGTCATTTATTTACCATACTGTATTTATATTTGACTTACGATATTTTCAACTTACGATGGGTTCGTCTGACTGTAACCCCATTGTAAGTCGAGGAGCAACTGCAGATAGAGAGAGATCATGTTACAAAACATCATGTGACAACACTACAAGATACCATCCATTTCATTCCTATATAACTTCAGTAATACTTAATGGATTGGATACACTGTAGTCTATGGTACAGGACTTTTTCATCTGAAGCCGAATTGCATAATACAGTATCTGGTTTTCCTATTTAGACATTTAATCACTAATGTTTTTACCAGTGTTTTGACAACACTTGCTAATGATACAAGCCAGCAGATACGAGGTTCTTCCTACCCCACATTTACATATCTGCACACTTTACATTAGCTATACAACAATTTACCGTCTTTTTGTAAAGTCCAAAAACAAAACAAGCAATTTTCTGTCTCTAAAATACATTACTGTATTATATAACATTGCAGATAATCAACAATCACAGATATGCAGCACTTTAACTACACAAGTTTATACAGGTAGGTTTGAAATGGATATGGTAATGTTGTATGAAAAGCCACTTGTATGTGCAATATTTTGGGAAAACCAGGGAAAAGAAATACTGTACATAATTGTACAGTGATACAAATCAGGACCGTCAAACAGGTATCTGCATTCCTCAAGCAATTGTACTGATTTTTAGCCCACGGCAAACTTCTATGCTACACGTCAATTACATAACCTGTGCTTCCCACGAGATCATGTACTCGGGCATATCTAAAACCCTTGGACAGACAACACAAACACTAAACACTGAGAGACACTAGCCAGCCCACTCGCCTGTATCTTGCAGGACATTCTTGCCCGCTGGACAGTGGTCTACCTTCGCTAGCCCTCCACTCGTCCTCCTTCACCTGCAGCAGTCGCTGAAGACTTTCCCTGTCATGAATACAACCTACTAAATGCATATTCCTAAATAAATGCAAGGGAACACGACTGTGGTTTTTTTAGAGCTTGAACCCCAAAAACTTTAGTTTCCCTATTCCAAAAGATCCTACTAAACACTTGTTACCATGAAAAGCTGATAAAAATCCTATACTGAAAGACAAAAGCAGAACCTCTCGAGAATGGTGGGAGAACAAATATACTAAATACCCATTTAGAATGTTCCTTTGTTGTGTGAATTTGTCGCTGATATAGCATTAAAAAAATTTAAATGCTGATAAATTTGCTAGACCAAGCAACGAAAATAAAATTATTAAAATTGTGCCAAGGTGGCTATGTTGCCCCCTTACAGCCAGTTGCACCCATGTGCCCAACTAGTATTACTCCCTCCTTCTCTAGCAACTACTATGTCTTGTGCGTGTTATTACTTTGCAATTAACGACAAATGTTTTCCAAGACCTTTCTTGTCAGACAGTAAACTAGTAGTTCACACTCTTATCAACTTTGAAGCAGATTCCTGTTTATGACCAACACCTTAAGAAGTATTCTTCCTTACTTCATGTATATTTGGTATACAATACAGCCTCTCCTCACTTAACGACGAATTCGTCACCGAGGAGCACACTGTATAATGGTAGTGGGTTTGTGTCAACCATCTTTGATATTGTTTTAATGTCACCTTTGTGCCATTTATAACATTTCTGGTACATTTTTAAATGTTCATACAGTAGTGTACTGTATATTGTAATAAACAGAATAGAGGAAATCAGCTCTAGTATACATTATTTAGGCATGTATACTGGTCAGAGAGCCTGATGCAAGGCCAAGGCATCAGTAAATGAGTACGTTGTTAAGTGAGGAGAGGCTGTACAAATGATTTTGAGGATCCCCATCCTTCATAACCCGATATTAGACCATGCCTGTTCAATTAAAAAAGAAAATTTCACAGGATAAAGAACTAATGTATGTATTAAGAAACGTACAGGAAAGTCAAAATAAGCGTATACTATATATACAGTGGTTGCAATATTTACACGTCATCTTATTTGCTTGCAAGACAAAGAAAAGACTGGGAAACTTAAAATGGTGTGAAACAAATACAGGAGGGTCCCACTTATACAGCAGGTTAAGTTCTGGGCTACCAATCTAAAGAAAAAATTACTGTAAAGTAAATCATAGCTTTTGTTCACTTTCAAATGTATAAAAGCCTAATAACATATTTACACTATCATATATTAAGTACATATACATAAAATTTATCAACAAATTTTGTTGAAAATAAGAAAAAAGTTTTGGAGTGAAATTAATAAGTTGAGGAATCTTAGGGAACAAATGGATTTGACGGTTAAAAATAGGAGGCGAGTTATTAAATGGAGAGTTAGAGGTATCGGAAAGATGGAGGGAATATTTTGAGGAATTGTTAAAAGTTGAAGATTGGGAAGCTGTGATTTCGTGTATAGGGCAAGGAGGAATAACATCTTGTTGAAGTGAGGAAGAGCCAGTTGTGAGTGCGGGGATAGTTTGTGAGGCAGTGGGTAGAATGAAAGGGTGTAAGGCAGCTGGGATTGATGGGATAAAGATAGAAATGTTAAAAGTGCAGGGGATGTAGTTTTGGAGTGGTTTGTGCTATTATTTAATAAATGTATGAAAGAGAGTAAGGTACCTAGGGATTGGCAGAGAGCATGCATTGTTCCTTTGTATAAAGGCAAAGGGGATAAAAGGCAGTGCAAAAATTATAGGGAAATAAGTCTGTTGAGTATACCTGGTAAAGTGTATGGTAGAGTTATTATTGAAAGAATTAAGAGTAAAGTGGAGAGTAGGATAGCAGATGAACAAGGAGGCTTTAGGAAAGGTTGGGGGTGTGTAGACCAAGTGTTTACAGTGAAACGTATAGGTGAACAGTATTTAGATGAGGGTAGAGAGGTTTTTGTGATATTTATGGATTTGGAAAATGCATATGACAAGGTGGATAGGGGGGCAATGTGGCAGATGTTGCAGGTGTATGGTATATGAGGTAGGTTACTGAAAGCAGTGAAAATTTTTACATGGATAGGGAGGCTCAGGTTAGAGTATGTAGGAGAGAGGGAGATTACAGTGGACCCTCGACCAGCGATGGCATCAATTAACGATAAATCTGACTAGCAATACATTTTATCGCAAAAATTTTGCCTCGATTAGCGCTAAAAAACTCCACCAACACTATTCGTTCCGTCTGAGACGCGTCCACTTCTGGCCAGTGTTTACAAGCCAGCCAGCCACCGCGGTCGCTTCCAAGCATACAATCGGAACATTTCATATTATCATAGCCTTTTTAGTGATTGCCTCTGCAAAATAAGTCACCATGGGCCCCAAGAAAGCTTCTAGTGCCAACCCTACAGCAAAAGGGGTGAGAATTACTATGGATATGAAGAAAGAGATCATTGCTAAGTATGAAAGTGGAGTGCATGTCTCCAAGCTGGCTAGGCTGTACACAACCCCAATCAACCATCGCTACTATTGTGGCCAAGAAAACGGCAATCAAGGAAGCTGTTCTTGCCAAAGGTGCAACTATGTTTTCGAAACTGAGATCGCAAGTGATAGAAGATGTTGAGAGACTGTTATTGGTATGGATAAACGAAAAGCAGATAGCAGGAGATAGCATCTCTCAAGCGATCATATGTGAAAAGGCTAGGAAGTTGCATGACGATTTAATTAGAAAAATGCCAGCAACTAGTGGTGATGTGAGTGAATTTAAGGCCAGCAAAGGTTGGATTGAGAGATTTAAGAATCGTAGTGGCATACATAGTGTGATAAGGCATGGTAAGGCTGCCAGTTTGGACCAAAAAGCAGCTGAAAAATATGTGCAGGAATTCAAGGAGTACATAGACAGTGAAGGACTGAAACCTGAACAAGTGTTTAATGGTGACACTGACAATGTTGTGAAACACTTTAGGAATGTCATAAAGGAACGGGAGGTACAGGCCTCTATGGGCAGATATGTTGTGCGACAGAGGTCCAGTGACTCTCAAGCTGGTCCTAGTGGCATTAAAAGAAGAAGGAAAGTAACCCCGAAAAAGGACTTGCCACCTCAAGTCCTAATGGAAGGGGATTCCCCTTCTAAACACTAAGACCATCAACACACTTCCCTCTTCCCATCCCATCAATCATCACCAGATCTTCAATAAAGGTAAGTGTCATGTAACTGTGCATGTCTTCTTCAGTTTGTGTGTATTAAAATTAATATTTCATGTGTTAAATTTTTTTTTTCAATACTTTTGGGTGTCTTGCACGGATTAATTTGATTTCCATTATTTCTTATGGGGAAAATTAACTTGACTAACGATTATTCTGACTAACAATGAGCTCTCAGGAACGGATTAATAGCGTTAGTCGAGGGTCCACTGTATTTCCCAGTAAAAGTAGGCCTTAGACAAGGATGTGTGATGTCACTGTGGTTGTTCAATATATTTATAGATGGGGTTGTAAGAGAAGTGAATGCGAGGGTCTTGGCAAGAGGTGTGGAGTTAAAAATAAAGAATCAAACACAAAGTGGGAGTTGTCACAGCTGCTCTTTGCTGATGACACTGTGGATGAATCTGGTAGGGTATGTAAAAGAAGAAAATTAGAAGTGAATACAGGAAAGAGTAAGGTTATGAGGATAACAAAAATATTAGGTGACGAAAGACTGGATATCAGATTGGAGGAAGAGAGTATGGAGGAGGTAAATATATTCAGATATTTAGGAGTAGACATGTCAGCAGATGGGGCTACGAAGGATGAGGTGAATCACAGAACTGATGAGGGGAAAATGGCAAGCAGTGCACATAGGAGTCTGTGGAGACAAAGAACTTTGTCCAGGAAAGCAAAGAGGGGAATGTATGAGAGTATAGTTGTACCAACACTCTTGTATGGGAGTGAAGCATGGGTGATTAATATTGCAACGAGGCACAGGCTGGAGGCAGTGGAAATGTCATGTCTGAGGGCAATGTGTGGTGTGAATATAATGCAGAGAATTCGTAGTTTGGAAATTAGGAGAAGGTGTGGGATTACCAAAATTATTATCCAGAGGGCTGAGGAGGGGTTGTTGAGGTGGTTCAGACATGTAGAGAGAATGGAACAAAATAGAATGACTTCGAGAGTGTATAAATCTGTAATGGAGGGAAGGCGAGGTAGGGGTCGGCCTAGGAAGGGTTGGAGAGAGGGGGAATAGGAGATTTTGTGTGTGACGGGCTTGGACTTCCAGGAAGCGTGCATGAGTGTATTTGATAGGAGTGAATGGAGGCAAATGGTTCTTAATACTTGACGTGCTGTTGGAGTGTGAGCAAAGGAACATTTGTGAAGGGATTCAGGGAAACCGGCAGGCCAGAAATGGGAAGTACAGTGTCTACACTTTGAAGGAGGGGTGTTAATGTTGCAATTTTATAACTGTAGTGTAAAACACCCCTCTGGCAAGACAGTGATGGAGTGAATGATGAAAGTTTTTCTCTTTCGGGCCACCCTGCCTTGGTGGGAATCGGCCGATGTGTTAATAAAAAAAAAAATGAATATTGCCCTACCATAATCTAAGCACTCCAAATTTTAAGTGAGAAAATAATTGCTATATGATATTCCCTTTTGATTTGTTTTGCAATTTCCAAATCCTCTAACAAAATTAAAATCTTTCAACCTCATGATCACATCAATTATATCAGCTTTTATATTACATGTATATACTTCTTTCAGTAGAAAAGAAAAAGATATTCTTAAGCTAATAACCACAAGGGATTATTAGCCCAGCATAAATCAACAAAGCCTATTAATGTAGCCAATCTTATTTCCACTGCAGCCCCTGGCCAGGAAGCAACCCACGACATGTGATTACAGTAACACTTACTGAACCAGGGCAGCAGATGTAAGATTTGCCCATACATCTCACTCCCCCTAGGAACTGGACCCGGTCTTTTCAATTGTGAGCCAAATATTCCACTACTGAGCTATTGTGGTAGTAATCCCAGCTTTTACACAAGAAAATTAACTATATCAACTTTCCGATCAAGAAAATACACTTACGTATTTTAATGCACAAAACAATTATGATGTATGTACTATGGATCGCCCAAAATATTAAATCTCCTGTTAAACAGTATATCGAAGAAAAATATAGTATTTATAGTCACTAGAAGAGAAGGTCAAAGTTGCATCTCAGTAAAGGGTGACTCCAGTACATACTGTATACGTATAATGACATGGGAACAACATATGGAAGAACAGAGAAAGAGATGTACAACAATCAAACTACAAAACTGCTATCAGGATCTAAGAAATCATGCAGCAGCATATAATTCCATAACGAATACACACAAGATAAAAAAAAAAAAAGGCTAAACGACTAGTAAGAGTACAGCAGTCTGGAAATGCAATACTGTACCTGCATCCACAAAGAGTCCTGCATGTTTCTCCAGGGATTGTTCATGTAACCAAGCTGCAAGTTCTGGCTGCAACCGAGACATAGGTCCTTTTATAGTTGGAATAATCACTTGAGTTATCAAGGCAATTCCACTCACCACAATAAAGCAAACATTCGTCAATTCCACCATCTTGTTAGTATGATACAGCAGATACACTTATGAAGCTGTAATTCATAATGGCTAGCACTTTCCTTTTTTGGTTTACTAAACTAGTAATCTCATGTATTCAGATTTGGCAATTATCCACTGTTCAACTTAAAAATTATATAACAGATTTCATGGAATATCAGTATAATTTTCATATTGTCAGATTGCACTTTAAAAAATCACAAACAATTTGAAGGTTTATATTGAAAAATCAACTCTGCAAGAACTTAACTGCCTAGAACATTTGTGGAGAGTTTGCCATGATGACTAAAATGTTTTGCATTAGTTTGTCACTCCATCAAATAACAATTTCAAAAATATTGCACAGCATATTGAGCATTTGCTTGACCATTGTACTGTAGAGTAATATAGTTTCCAGAAAAAAATTGCGATGAATGTTACTCTCAAAAACAATTACACGTACAGCATTTATAATGTACTGCATGTACTAACAACAGAGTATAACAAAATTAATATTCTTGCTAAGTTAAACACTAGTCAAGGGGCCATTCACGAAAGTCAATAAAGCACTTCTAGTCATCAGGTTTTTTTTTAATAAAAGCGTCTTAGTAGGGTATAATCACAGGGTGTGTTTCGTAATGGCGGCTATAATGGAGCATATCTCTGGAAGACTGGTTTCTCTGCTGGAGAAGGAGCTGGGGTTCTGCCTCCTCTCTCCATTGTGTTTGCATTCTGAAAGGTTAATACGTACATGAAATGAATACCTGATAACTGTGGATGAGGGAATGGGGGAGGAAAATGGAGGGGGGAGGAAAATGAGAGGTGGGAGGAAAATGAGAGGTGGGAGGAAAATGAGAGGTGGGAGGAAAATGAGAGGTGGGAGGAAAATGAAAGGTGGGAGGAAAAGGAGAGGTAAGAGGAAAAGGAGAGGTGGGACTAAAATGAGGGGAAAAACAAGAGGGGGAGAATGAAAGGAAGAATGAATGGGGGTGGAAAGAATGAGGGGGGAAAAGATAGGAAGAAAAAGAGAGAACAAACCAGCCACAGCCAGAAAATGGGGCTTTATTAACTATGGTAGTTAGCTCTCACAGTTTGGTGGGCACATAGCAAGATACAAGCAAATCATTAAATATAAGAAAAACAGGAACAGACCACTATGAGTAACACTCAGATCAGGTTTAAGCAAAAACTGCTAACAAAAGTCAGGCACACAAGGTACAAAGATAAATTTTAACATTACAGTACTTACAGGAGAAATGCTTAATAAACAAATAGTACACGTATTATTTTGGGAAAGAATCCAAGTGGCCTCAAAGAACAAACAGTAAAAGACCCTGTGGTCTGAACATGTCAGTTATTAGCAAGTTTATTCAGGTATACACAAATACAGTTACAAAGAATTATCATACATAGCAGCATATGTGTAGTGAACCTAGGATAACCCAAAAAAGTCAGAGTGGCTTATTTCCATTGGGGTCCTTTCCTAGAATCCAGGAAGATTTTAGACCTTGTCCAGATTGTTAGCCTATATCTGGTGAAACCGTTCAAGTCTCATAAAGAGGCTCTGCACAGTGAAGAATTTATCTTGAATAGCGAGCTGTACTGGAAAAGGTTTAGAATGATGAAAAGTTAAAACACCCAACTTCACCAAGAACCATTAGAATCATTTAAAATTTTTGAAGTAGGTATGAAGATCCTTGTAATAAAAGAGCCTCAGAAAGCTACAACAGGAAGCTGTATAAAGAAAAAAGGCATCACATTAAATATCCCTCACTGTTAAGATATGCTGTGAAACAAATCAGCCTCTACAAGCAAACTACAAAGACCTGTATCTGCAATAAAGGCCAGTATGAGCAATATAACCTACAGCAATAAGTTTATTTAGGCACAGGTACACAATTACAATTCATAGTGTAAATTAATTTTCACTAGAGGTCCTTGGCTAAAGTTGACAGCTTAAACGAGGTAAATAACTCCAGCCCTTCTCCTTCCCACTACTTAATTCCATAACATGTCACCTCAAACCATCATGCCAACCATTCTTCATGAAGATTCCTTGGAATTTTGGTTTTCATATAGTCGGACTTGAGTCCTGGAAATGGGAAGTACAATGCCTGCACTTTAAAGGAGGGGTTTGGGATATTGGCAGTTTGGAGGGATATGTTGTGTATCTTTATGTGTGTATGCTTCTAGACTGTTGTATTCTGAGCACCTCTGCAAAAACAGTGATAATGTGCGAGTGTGGTGAAAGTGTTGAATGATGATGAAAGTATTTTCTTTTTGGGGATTTTCATTCTTTTTTTGGGTCACCCTGCCTCGGTGGGAGACGGCCGACTTGTTGAAAAAAAAAAAAAAAAATAAATAAATAAATGATGTACATGATAAGTAGCCAAATATACAAGTTTTGTACAATATACATGCTGTGAGTGCATGTTGAACACCTCCAACTTTACTTAAAAAGACATGGCAAAGTGTATTGAAATATATTCTTGAACACACTCCCAGTCATTTTTTTTTTTCCAACAAGTCGGCCGTCTCCCACCGAGGCAGGGTGACCCAAAAAGAAAGAAAATCCCCAAAAAGAAAATACTTTCATCATCATTCAACACTTTCACCTCACTTACACAATCACTGTTTTTGCAGAGGTGCCCAGAACACAACAGCCATATAGGAGAAAATATGATCATGGTACCCATACTATACAACAGGTTTTGGTGAAATGTATGCATCATTGTGTACATGTGAATCCCTTGTATTTTACTAACTTTCTGTAACACCAGGATGAATTTTAAAACTGACAACTCTAAATTCATATGCTAGCTTTTCAACTTGTTAATTCACATATGTACATTATTTGAATTGCAGGAATGTATAACACTGCACTACTGGGCCTAAAATGGTCATTGAAATGTCATGTACTATATTAAGAAAATACTAAATATATATAGTAAGTTTATTTAGGTACAAATACACATAAGTACAAATATCTTACACAGTAACATATGTGTAAATTACCTATAACAACCCGCAAAAGTCAAGAGTGATTTATTTCAATTGGGATCCCACAACAAAATATCCAGCATTCTTACCATGTACAGCATTAACTATGATTCCTGGTATGCCACTCCTATAGCTATGATTAAAAGTAAAATGCTTATGTGCCACAGATAACTTGCAAGCTACAAATGCTGAATTAACTGAATTTAGAGAGCACCCATAGCAGCTATATTTGAAACAGTAAGCTTGTGCCAAGAGATCATGCCTGCCACAATATGAGAGAATTCTATATATTTTTCTCTCCTGTAGGCATACCAAGGTACACATTGTTCTATGTATATTCTATTATGCAGTTTTTTGTTTTCATGTAAAAGCTCCAAGAAATATTTACATCAGGACATTTGCTTTTGAAAACCTTACAACATCTGCCAAGGATATTCTATTTTTGTCAGTGACATATTACATACACACCATAAATCACACTGTTATACATAATTTCAGTCTTTTTAATACACTGTAATGCAGACAGCAGTTAGGCAAAGAGAATATTAAGACAACACTAGGATTCTATAAATACTGCACTGTACAGTACTAATAGATGTATAATGAGGTCATAGTTCATGTTATACAGTGTATTAGTTAAGAATTTATTAAGTGGGTTGGGCATTGAAATTAGTTACATTTTAAACAAATAGGGAAAAATAATTTTTTTTGATAAGCTAGTTTAACAACATAACCAAACCCAATACTAATATTTTTATTTCTACAAGTACATGTACAAGGTATACAGACCTAGGTTAGTTTTGTCCCAGGATGCAACCTGCACCAGTCAACTAACACCCAAGTAGTCTTTTTACTGATGGGTGAACATAGATAACCAGTGTAGGGAAACATGCCCAATGTTTCTACCCTCACCAGGAACCAAACCTGGACCCTCACCATCTAAAGAGAGCTTTAGCCACCAGGCTATGGAGCAACAATGAGACCTAACCCAGCCTAACCTAGACCAGCAGATAAATCGTCAGTCAGGTGAGGCTGGGCAACATTAAGTTACATTATATTCAAGAAAAAAATCCCATTCGAAACATACGAAAAGGTGGGGCCAGGAGATATGACCTGACCCTTGCAACCATAAATAGGCAAGTACACATGTCCTTTGCTCAGCACACTTAATTATCAGTCAATTCATGAAAAAAGCAGGGAATAAAGGACACACTGGCCTACTTTTCACTAATTATTTCATATCTTTTATTGGAAGAAATATTATGGCTATGATTTGTTTCCTTTTGTACAATACATAAACTACTGTACAATACACGATTCTTTTATGTAGGTGTTTCATCATCCTGTTAAGTCAGATATTCAGGTCTGCTGTTACAATGATAATGTCTTTATTTTATAATCTTGACTATTAAATATGGGAGACTTGCCTTTCTATAAATGACTAATCACATCTTCGAAATGACTGGGGCTGATTGAGATGAGATTTTGTTCGGATTTTTAACCCCCAGAGGGTTAGCCAACCAGGATAACCCAATAAAGTCAGTGCATCATCAAGGACTGTGTCTTATTTCCACTGGGGTCCTTCAATATGTACTGTCCTCCAGGATATGACCAACACCAGTCAACTTACACCCAGGTACCTGTAACTATTTACTGCTAGGCGAGCAGGGACAGGTGTATGGAAACACGCCAAATGTTTCTACCCGGCTGGGGATCAAACCATGAACACTCAGTGTGTGTGAGGCGAGAATGGAGGAACACTGTAATAGGCTTACTGGCCCAAAGTAGACAGGTCCTTCTCAAACTCCTCTCTTCTCACTCGTATGTTTGTCTGATCTACTGTACTGTATTTTTAAAGTTGCACAAGGTGTTAGTAAGTTTATTTAGGTATACACAAATACAGTTACATAGATCATCATACATAGCAGCATATGTGTAGAGAACCTAGGATAACGAAAAAAAAAAAAAGTCAAAGTGACTTATTTCTATTGGGGTCTGACCTATTTTATGGGTTATCCCAGGTAAACTACACATATTGTGCTATGTATGATACTTTATGTAACTGTATTTGTATCTGTACCTGAATAAACTTTGTTAGATAAAATAAAATGTCACATTAGTTGCACTTGTGTCCTTTTACCTAACATATCGGTAATTCCTGACAACATTAATACCGAATAAACTTAGTATCTTCAATAACTACCTGGCAGAGTTTGGTTTAAAAAAATACCGAGCAAACACTACAATATACATATTTACTTAAAAACATTATGGTCATGGGACCAAATGTTCCATTAATCTGCAACTCCATTGTTAAATCAGTACTCTTAGTAAATATACAAGTTTATATAAGTACAGGTCTACATAAGTACAATTATCATACATAATAACACGTAAATTTCCTAGGATAACAAAAAAATTGACAAAGGGACTTATTTCCACTGGGGTTCTTATACTTTTCTAAATTTTAATTATGTAGTTAAGTAGTATCTATTTACGTTTTGGGTACATTACATATGTAATTCATAATGACCACGAGGGCTCGCACACTTTATTGGCACAGGAAAAGTACATTATGGAAAGTAAAAGGACAAGTGCAACTAATGTGACTTTTTCAACGACGCCCGACTAGTAATCATAGCCAAATTTCTGCAGACGTAAATGCCTTGAATCATTAATCACTGCTTCTAACACTATCAAGCAAAATAAAGGCAGCTTCATCATCTCTGAAGTAGTATTAGCAAAAATCCTCCT